TTTAATTTCATAAATTCACCTCCCTATTGCTCCAATGACCATTTCAGTCAAGGGAGCAACTCATTTTTAAAAAATATTTTGTCTCAATCCTTAACATTACCATTTTTACTAACAAACAACATTAACAACTAAAATTTTTAAACAAAGGCGCTGTGTGGAGAAATAGATTGAGACAGTAATTTCAGCAGAGGTAATTTGAACCCCAACCTTCTGGTTGCGAGCCAAATGTTTTACTACTAGTCTACTAGCACATTTTACCTATAGTGCAAAAAGGGACTCCATCAACTATAAATGATGTTAATTAATTGCTCTAAATTAAAAACATGTTCAGAATATTTTTGACTAAAAAAAAATCAGTGTAAAAATTATGACAATTGAGTTATTCAAAGTTGGTAAGACAATATAAATGTTGCAAACTAGTTTTTTTTACTAACATGTTCAACATATCATTTCAAAAACTATTTTGCACAAGTTTACAACATGTAATCAACAAGTTTGCAACACGATGTTGCAACCTTATAAGTTATTATCAATCAGGATGACTATGAACACTTTTTAAACATTTTTGTATCATAGAAGAAAACTGCTAGCCTAATCACTTCATTTTTTTTTATCAGAACATTATACTGTCCAGCTTCCTGGAAAAGTTATCGGCCTGATCAACTGGACTGGCAAAAAATGGATTTTTGCCTAAACTTTGTTTCTTAAAATATCTAAAATAAATTTGTTAAGAACCATTACAGTGTCTTTGCCACCAAGTTTTTGTTTTTCCTTAAAGATGTTTTACCGGCTCAGTTTTGCAATGCAAATTGCAAACTGAATCAAAGTAACACATTATATAGCTCTATTGTGTGTGTGTTTCTTCACCTTTTAGCAACTTGATACTGATGTTAATTTTCAACCCGCTGTTCTTAGTCACCCCTGTTGGTGGTACATGTTGTAAACTTGTAGCTAATGCAAAATATTAAAAACCTGTCAAAAGACAGATGAGCACGAATGTCATTTTTACCAACAAATCTTGTCCTTGTGAAATGCATACAAGTTTTTAACATGTTCTCTCATTGAATGAGCAAACATGTTGCAAACTTGCTTGCACATAACTTAATTTTAAATAGTTTTAAAGTTGTATGCACTTAAGGACAAATCTAGTAAACTGTAGCATTTTTTTTTTGCCTGACAACTTTCCATTTCTAAACTGTAAATAAAGTTTAATAATTTTTATATATAGTATTTTGCTTGTGGCTTTGTATTTTTTTTTTTTTTTTGCAGTTTACAACATAAGCTTTAAAAAATAAAAGATCAAATACCAATATAAAGGAATATAGACATTCGAGAGAAGAATAAAGATACTAAATAACTAGTAATGTCTTGAAATTTAGTTAATAGAATGATTTTTATTTCCTTTATAAGTATTTAACTAATTTAATGTTTTAATACATATTTCAATAACATTTATAATAACTTGCTAAATGTTTTAAAAAAAAAAAATAACCAACTTGCTACAAAAACAGATTGATCGATTTTGGGTATGTTCTAAAGACCATTATGTATATAAATACAGTGTTTACAAGAGTAATTACAATTACAAGGTTGCACTTGCTGATAATAAAGCATTTATAAGTGTTAAAATCATTTTTAGTTATCAGTTGTAAAATAGGTCATTTTTAAAAAAACCCAAATATTTTTAGGTTTTTTTTGGGTTTTATTGGGTTTTTTTAAGGTGGGTTTTTTTGGGTTTTTTTTGGGTTGGGTTTTTTTGCCAACCCTGATATATATATATATATATATATATATATATATATATATATATATATATATATATATATATATATATATATATATATATATATATATATATATATATATATATATATATATATGAATATATATTTATATATATATATATATATATATATATATATATATATATATATACATATATATATACATATATACATATATATAGTATATATGTTACTGTTACCCGCAGTACCAGGAATTAACTAAATGTTAATGTTAATAATATAATCAAATATACAATTCAATAGAATTATTTTATGATTTATAAACAATTATATATATATATATATATATATATATATATATATATATATATATATATATATATATAATATTGTTTATAAATCATAAAATAATTCTATTGAATTGTGTACTTGATTATATTATCAACATTAACATTTAGTTTTCATTTAATTCCTAGGTATTGCAGGTAACAGTAACATATATACTATATATATGTATATATGTATATATATGTATATATATATATATATATATATATATATATATATATATATATATATATATATATATATATATATATATATATATATATATATATATATATATATATATATATATTAATATTATTTAATGATAAAAATGAACACTTCTTTGATAACTTGGCTTTAACATATTGTCAAGTAAGCCTTTTTCTAACTGTCAAAGCATCAATTTGCAGGCCAAGAGTAGTTTTTCTTTCTTTTGATGTTGCAAAAGGATTTCTTTTGGAATAAAGAACAATATTTTTGTCATCTCTAGATGTTTTCCTCTTTCAACCAAGTGTTTTGGGTGTGTTTTCTTTTTTAATTGCATTGCATACCATATTAGTTAAACAGCCCATTATATTTGAATTTTCTTTCAAAGTTTTACCCTGATTTTGTAAATTTTTAATTGAATTTCTTTTATCTTTTGAACAATGAATATTATGCCCCATTTTTCTATTTTTTTTTTTTAATTTTTCCTAAACATATAAATATTTTCTTTTTAATTCAACAAATTTTATAGTAACTGTTAATAAAATTCATCTTTTAACTAAATAAATTGATAATAATTGAAAATAATTTAATATAAAATATACATTACCTATTATTTTGTACACCTTAAATTAAAGTATTCAAGAGAAATCAAATAAATACATGCAAAAACTTGTTTATACATCACCAGCAAACAACACAATGTACATAAGAGAGTGAGGTTATAAATATATGTTTATGTCCAGCGCATTCTTAAACATGATGTAATAGATGCATTATGTTTACAATTACCTAATATTTTGCACACAACTGTATATAATAAAATAAGTTAAAAAGTTTTGAGTCTGGCCAAACGTTACATGGAAAACAAGGTAAAAAAACTGCTTAAAAAAACTTAACTTTTACGTCAGATTTTTGCCATTCAGTAAAGCGGTTTGTATTAGAAACTTTCACAAGATGTTGAAAATTCTATACTAGTTTAAAAAATATATAAAAATTTATCAGAGTTGACCAGTTAAGGAAAATAAACTGGTTTTTTTTAATACTGTATATATTTAAATTATGTTACATCACTTACGTTACCAAGCGAACATTATCATGGATTTTTTATAACTATTATTAAGAGTTAGAGTTACATAACAAAAGAATTGCAAAAGTATTGAACTCATTCATTAAAAATGATTAACAAAAAAAATTTTGAAAATCTGGTGGCACTCTTCCTGAGTGATTTTTCATAACATTTTTCATAACATTAATTAAAGTTATCAAACCGAAAACAGTTTTTCTGCAAGACTAAGAGCAACTTAAAAAACTATTTTAGTATTACAACTTTATTAATACTTATTATTAGAGGGGTTCAGGTATATATGATTGTTTCTGACACAAGGGAAGGGGTAATAATTGACAAATATAGGGTTATGTGTTTTATGGATGACCCCAAATAATTGCATTTACAAACAATTTGTTTTACTAAAACAAAAATAAAACAGGTTCTAACTGATTTTTTATATATTAGGAGAATAGCAAATGAATTTTTTTTTTTTTTTTTTAATTAAAATCTAAATAAAAATATTTAACAATTTTTTATTTTTCTAAAATCTTATTTTTATTTATTTATGTATATTAATATGTCAACCAAAATAAGAATACATAAACAAATAAAAAAAACAATATAAATAATTTTAATTAATATTAAAAAAAAATAAAAGATTTTTTTATAAATTTTCCTAATATAAAAAGTTTCAGCTAGAACCTTGTCAAACCAACGCAATGAAATAAGAATTAGATAATGATGAAGTTTATTTTGCTAATAAAAAAGCGCCAGAACTTTAGTAAATGTATGTATTTTTAACTTATGTTACACAAATTTAAAATAAAAATGTACTTTATCCAAGCATAGTTATTCAAAAATTTAAATGTAAAAACATAACATTTAATATTCTTTCGCATATATTATTAAAAAACTTTATCATATTTTTGTTAATATATGTTACATAAAAATTGCAAAAGTTCTTTGTTATTTTCTTGAAATATATATATTTTATAAAGTAAGAAATCTGACCAACAACAATTGGAACATGTTAGCTCCATTTTCACACTAAATTCTGATTATGCAAATATATTCACAGTTAAAATAACATTATACAATGATACTTTTTTTATCATGCGACAATGAGAAAAACTGTAACTTTCGGAAGCATAAAAATGACTTAAATAAATTAATTTAAGTACTAAAGGTATATATATATATATATATATATATATATATATATATATATATATATATATATATATATATATATATATATATATATATATATATATATATATATATATACATACATATATATATATATATATATATATATATATATATATATATATATATATATATATATATATATATATATATATGTATGTATATATATATATATATATATATATATACATATATATATATATATATATATATATATATATATATATATATATGTATATATATATATATATACATATGTAAATATGTATATATATATATATATATATATATATATATATATATATATATATATATATATATATATATATATATATATATAATTTATCCGAATTTTTCCCTTCTTTCCCAAAAAATTATGATACACTATATTAGCTAAATTACAGTAGTTGTATATAACTAATTATATTATATGATGCTGTTTTAATGAACTGATTTTATTTTAGGTATACTGGAATAAGAAAAAAGATATTGCTCGAAAGCCTCAAATTGTGTATTATGGAGATAAAACTAAATTGGATCTTATAAATGTTTGTAATGAAGAAATATATTTTTTTAAATGTGAAGAAAGAATGAAAAATGTTCACCCTTATGCCAACTTAATGGATTATTCAGAATTTAATGAAGAAAAACTAGTTAAGATTTTAAGCAAGCGAAAGCAGCTTTTTACCCATTGTTCTAAACAAGGCATCAATGAAGAAGTATTTGAACGTGCTTTGTGTCAGTATTTATTTGAATCTTTACAACTTCAAACTATGTCAGATATAGTGATGGATTCTTATAATGAAAAGGAAAATGAAAATCGATTATGTACTTTTGACTATCCATATAAAAACTTACTACTAGAACCTAATACATTGCTACGGAACTTAGATGATCATTGTTGGCTGGAGAAATTTGAAGCAAGTGTTTTGTATCAGGTTATTTTTTATTTTGTTTGTTTTTTTAATAGTATTATACTGACTAAATATAATAATATAAATATAATAACTGTTAACGTTACTGTTATTGTTTTATAATATTTTCAGCGTGGTCAGTGCAGCCAAGTTATTTAAATAACTGTTCTGAATTCATTGATAAATCAAAAATTACTTTTTAAAAACTGATAATTTTTTGCACTTCGCTTTATATCTCATTTATTATTTGAGTTTTTTTTAGTATAGTATGTATAATTTACTTGAAACCTTTACTTTTAGATACTTGATAAGTGCTCTGAGTTAAGGCCTTATATAAAAAAGTATTATTGTCGTGGCAACAATAAGTTATTGTTGATAATGTATAATCCTTGTAATGAAAACTTGTATAATAAAATTTCATGGAATGGATGGCTGCATTCAAATGTTGGTTTTAGGAGTTATTTACACAGTGTTGCAAATGATATTAAAGAATGGGTTATAAAAAAAAAAAAAAGTCTATTTGATAATAAAGAAGAGCAAGTTGATAAAACGAACATTATGGTACAAGCAGTTCCTCCAAAAGATAAAAGCAGGTTAAAATTTAACTGATTTATTAAATGTTTTTAAAATGAATTAATACTCAAAATTTGACTTGTAGCCTTTTACTAAAGTTTTTAATAAAATAAATATAAATCATATATTTGTTTACAGATTAAAAAAAGGAACAAAATTATTAAATAATGACATACTTTTTAGCTATGGCCTTAAAACAAGAATCGAAATGAATACTGAAACTCAACTTAATAAAGATGTAAAAGAATATGAAGTATCCAAAAAATTGTCAAGCAAATCTCCAGAGTTGAAAAAAGCAGGTTTTTCAGATAAAATTTTTAAATTATATTAAAGTTGTTTTAAATTACATTTTTTGTCAATTACAACTGAAAGATTGGCCTTAAACCATTTTTGGAAATGTTGATGTGAGTAGTTGCTCCATCTTGCAGAAATATCTGATTATCACCAAATACTTAGTTTCCTTACATTATAACTACTGTTTTCCAAATAACTTTTGTTATTTAGAAAGTACTTTTTACTGTATAAAATATAAACTTTATAAATCTTTAATTTTATTATGATATAATAACTATTGAAAATAAACTTTATAAATTTTTAATTTTATTATGATAAATTAAATTTATAGAGAAGAAAAAGTTAAATTGTTTTTTTTTTAATTAAAAAAAGAATAAAAATGATAGAATTGATATCACAAATATTTGAAGAGATTAAAAACTAAAAGTACAAATTTTTTGTGACAAACATTTTCAATTTCTTATTTTTTCATAAGATTACTTATTATTAAGATTATTTAAAATCATACTCTTTTCAACTTCAGGTTTTAAGTTTCATTGAAACAGATCAAAAACAAATTAGTATTTATTAACTATTGCTTAATATTGTTTCAGACATTTCTTTAATTGATCCCAATTTTTTTCTTCATAATTATGTTTGTGTGCTCGCCTGCTTTATAAACAAATGTATATTTAAAATGTGACATACTTGTAAATATATATTTGATGATTATAAGAGAAAATTGTTCAAAAAAATTTCTTATATTAAAAACTGTTAGGGAAACTATTAAAGTTTAATATAAAGAAATAATCATTCACGCTTTGACAATAGTTAAGTGTTTTTTTTTTTTTTTTCTGTATGTATTTTGGTGCTCCCAGAAGTCCTTACGATCTTATCATAGAGCACCGCGGGAGAGCATTTAACAAGAAGTTCACGCCTCCTTCCTTACCAATGTCACTTGTTGGACTGGAGCTGGCGTCGACCCCCGGACCTCTGGGTTCTGAGCCAGAACTCTAACCACTGCGCCACGGCTGCTTTAAATAGTTCTGTTTTTGTTTTTATTACTACTAAAGTTTTGTTTAAAACTCATGTATAGTTTTTCAATCAAATTTTTATAAGTAGTATACTTGAAAATACTATATCCTTAAATCAGATTTATTTGAGAATTTGCAAGAACTACAGGATCAATACGGTTTCTAATATTATTTTTTTGTAGGATGATAAAGTGATATTAACAAAATTTTAAATCAATAACTTTTAATACTTTGGTACAACAAATCTTGAAATAGTTTCAAATTGAAATCACACACCACGGTTAACCTGTGTGTGATTTCAGTTTGAAGAAAATATAAGTATGAAAGAAGTATTATAATTTTCTATTATTTTTTAAATAATAACATAAAAACTGATTTTATTGAAAATGATAAAATATCCATCAAATAATATTACTTGCATATAGACATTATATAACAAAATTTTTAGTAAAATTTATTATGATTTTAGATTTATAAAAAAAATTATTATATATAAAATCATTATATAAAAAAATAATTATTATTTACAGGTTCAAAAATGGATAAACTTTCAGCTTCTAAAAAGAAAACAAGTGAAAATCAACTAAGTAAAATAAAATCAGCTAAAAATATTGAAGAACATAAACTAATAAAAGAAACAAAACAAAATTATGATTTTAATGGTTATAATCTTGGTGATGCACTGCTTCATTTAAAATCTGAATGCATTTATATGTTTCCAGAAAGTAGTTGTTGCATCAAATTAGAAAAACAAGTCTTCCATAATGGCAACACTTACATTAACATTAATGTGATAAAAGATAATAATAATTTTTATCTGGAATTTGTTAACCCTTTAGCTGAAATAGAGGTTTCTGCATTAAAAGAAGATATTACAAACACAAAGTGCAGTAATTTTAATTGTGGTACACAGTTTTTATATTAATACTACTAGTTGTTACATTTTATATTTGTTAAGTATATATAATATGATTAATAATATATAATTTATTATTTTAAAAAGAAAGGTTTTTTTCTCATTTGTTTTAATAAAAATAACTAAAAATGTAAATTTCAGATATTAAACTGTATAACCATTATTTTCTAAATCATCCTTGTTATGCACTTTTTTGCTAACAAATTTCATAAATAGGTATAAATAATGCACTTGCATAATTTTTTATGTGGTAGCAATTCGGTAGTATGGTAGTGGTAAAACTTTTATGTGGCAGCAATTTGGTAGTATGCTAGTGATAAAACTTTTGGCTAACAATCAAAAGGTTTGAAGTTCAAATTCACCCTACATCTCTGAAAGTACCATGCTCAAATAAAATTCCCCTCCAAAGACACCATCTCTTACACCATCTCTTACTTTTTATCCAAGACACCATCTCTTACTTTTACTCAACCAAAAACCCCAAGGATTTTGGTCGAGTAAAAGTTAGAGATGGTGTCTTGATAAAAATACTCATCTTGGGCAGATGTTTACTGCATCCAGTAACTGTCTTGTAGAAGGCCTTCTAGACAAAGACTTTAGGGGTAAGCAGAACAATTTCGTTGACCAGCCTTAAACCCCTCCTTCATCTATTAGGCTGGTGTCAATGTAAACCTGTGTTACATTGTTTCCTGTCTAGGATGATGAATGCTGGATCTTCTTGACTCATAGATTTTTGATTTTGCCTCCTTGATAGTGGCTATGTACCTCTTCCTGTTATCTCATAATGAGGGTACAACTCTAAAACCCAGTTTAATGGTTCTGAGGCCGGCTGGTAGCAAGGCTTTCCGAACTCTGTAGTAGCTCTAAAAGAGGCTTAGTCTATCAACAGTTGAAATTATCAGAGTAGTAATAGTGCTGTGTTGCACATGAACAGTGTTCCTGGTAATGCTTTGGTGTGCAATGTTGAGGCCACATAAGGATCTCTACATTACAACTTTGGGTTAATTAATGGGACTGAGCATAGCTCATTGTTTGGGATGCTATGCTCTATCTATGAATGAGTCAGGTTGTCTTTAAACTTAAATCATGCCGAAAGTAAACCAAAATATTAAACATAAAAAACCATCCCCACCACCTGTTTCAATATATCTTTCACAAATATTCATAGTCTGCAAAGTAACCTTCCATACAGTTAAATCTTACCTCTTGCAAAATTCACCAGACTCTTTACTCTATCATCTTTCTTTTTTTTCTTTATTCATAGATGAGTTTTTTCCGAAAATTCCTGGAATTTTGTAAACTCACTCAAAACTACTTTAATTTTCTAGAAATTTCCGGATGTTTTTTGTTATTAATTTGAAAAAAAAAATTATATATTTTTACATAAAATTTTAAAAAACAACAACTATTGCATTTAAACAAATATGTTTTCTATAGTTAAAATTTTTATGGGATCAATTTTCGTAACAGTTTTTTTCTTTTTTTTTTTGCTTTTTAATTTATTCAAATTAACTTTTTCGAATATTAGAAATTTTGTAAAAAGTTAAAAAATCTAAATTCCGTTTTAAAAGTTTACGAAAGTTTTTGTTTTCACTTAATACGATTAATTTTTAATAAAATAATTCTCCAGGATTTTCCGGGATTTTCATAAAAAAAAATTTCGGGCATTTTTTATAAAGTCAAATACTCATCTATGTTTCTTCTTCTCAAGACTGTACTCTTTTAGATAATTTAGTAATTTCTGACCGAATTGACCATGCCCTTTTTCTATACTCCTCTGCCAATATTTTTGCTATTGGTGACTTCAATACTCATCACACTAAATGGCTTGGCTCTAACACCACTGACCCTGCTAGCAATTAAGTTTGTAACTTCTGCATTTCTCAATCTTTTACTCAAATAGTCAACTTTGTGATTCATTTTCTAGATTTGTGTTTTGTCTCTGACCCTAGCTTGTGTTCAGTTTTTCCTTTTTCTGCATTAGGTGGTTCTGACCATACAATGATATGCAACTCTAAAAATCTTTCAATTTGTGCTTCATCTTTGGAGTCACCCTATCATTGTTCTACTTACTAGTACCTTAAAGTTGTCTGGGATTCTTTTTGTGATTTTTTTTGTGACAGTCCTTGGGCTAATGTCTTTTTGCTGGCAGTAATTAAAGCTTTCATTCCTTCTCATAAGTCAAGCCTCATTTTACTCTGTGGTTTTCACCTACTTGTGCAGCTGCTATATCTTATTGTAATCATTTTATTTATCTTTTTTTGAAAGAATAACTCTCTTGAAAACAAATAGCTATCTATTATTACAAGAAATCAATGTAAAAAGGTGCTGTCTGATGCTAAGCTCCATTGTTCTCAGCTCACAAAATCTCATTTCTTATCTCAGAAGTTAGGTTTTAGAGATTTTTGGAAAATCTTCAACAGCAAAGGTAGGTCTAACATTCCAATTCTCATTCATGGGACTGATCTTATTATCGCTCTCATGAATAAGGCAGAACTATTTGCAATGAACTTTTCTTCAATTTGAATCTTTCTTCCATTACAATTAAACAGATTAATCCATTGTTAGACATTCAAATCACTCCAGCTTCCATTGCTTAAGTCATATCTCTATTAAACTCTTCTATGGCTTGTAGTTCAGACAACATTCCTGTCATAATCTTACATTTTCTCCAAACTATTTAATAAGAGTTTGACTGAATTTTATTTTCCTACCTGACATTTATGGTTTTAATTTTTAAAAACTCTAGAGATCATTCTGACCCCTCCAACTATTGCCCAATTAATCTTCTATCTGTTATTAGCAAGGTCGTTGAGTCTTTGATCAACAAATTTTAAACATCCCTTTTTGAATCAAATAACTTACTGTCAGACGATCAATATGGTTTACAATTCTCTCTATCTACAGCTAACTTGCTTACAGCTGTGTCTGAAAGATTTTATAATGCATTAGATGTAGGGAGTAAGGCTAGGGCTGTTGCTCTTGAAATATCTAAAGCCTTTGATAAAGTTTGGCATGCTGGTCTACTTCTTAAACTTGCTTCATATCATGTATCTGGGAAAGTTCTGGGAGATTATCAAGTCATTTCTTTCTAACGGCTTTGTTAAAGTTATCTCGGAAGGCCAATACTTTTCCTTTTTTCTAGTAACTTTAGGGGTACTGGAAAAAAAGAACCATGGTCTCGTTTTGTTTCTTATCTACATTAATGATCATCATGGCAACATTACATCTAGACCTCCATTTGCTGATGACACAACTTTATACTCCTGTCTTGACAAAAGTCTTTTCTTTTCAATTGCCTGGAACAGGCAGCCGATCTTGAATCTGATCTCACTTCTGTAATAGATTGAGGCTTGGATTGGCTTGTTAATTTTAACTCAGTTATTTACTGCAAACAAAAATCGTAATACTGTTGACATTTCTATATTAATGAGTGGCTACCCTCTCACTGAGTCTTCATTTATTACATTTTCTTGGATTATAATTCACTAATGATCTCTCATGGAAACAATATATACAACCAATTGCTAAATTAGCATCTGCTAAACTTGCTACTCTTGTTCGCCATTTTCTTACTCCGGATATCAATTTCTACTTCAACCAATCTCTTACTCATACCTGTATGGATTTCTATTGTCATATTTGGGCTGGTTCTTCTAATAATGCTCTTTTTCTTCTAGACAATGTCCAAAAATGCATTGTATATGTAGTTAGACTCTATCTCCCAAGCTTAAGCCTCTCTTTCATTGTCATAAAGTTGCACCTTGTTCTCTTTTCTACAAATACTATCATGGTTGCTGCTCATAGGAGCTTTAATCTCTAGTTCCATCAAGTAAAACTCATTTTTGCTTGGCTTGCTGTCCAGCAAGGACAGCAGTACTGTATCTGCCCCTTTATGCTCTAAAAACTGTTATTTGTCTAGTTTTTTTTTCCTTCAATTCAACCCTTTGGAACTCTCTTTCATCTTCATGTTTTCTTGACTCAAGCAACCAATAATTTTTCAAGTCTTCTGTCAACCGTTTCCTTGCTCATTATATCTATTCTATTTTTATTCTAGTAACTCCCAACTTCATCAGAATAAAAAAATTAGTAAAAAAACATTTTTTTCTTTTAACAAACTTAGCCATTATAGTTATTTTAATAGATGCTTAATAAAAATGTTATTATTGTATTAATAAAATTGTTATTATTGTATTTAAATTTGTTTTTTGATTATATTTTAATAATAAAGCATTTGTGTTATTAGATAAATTTAACTCTTATTTGTGTTCACATGAGTCTCTAAAACTTCCTACTCTACCAAAATATCAAAAAAACATCAGTTTGTATTCAGTGTTTAAAACAAGATTTTCAGATGGATTGTTTTTATCGATAAGTTCATCATTTTCTCAAGAACTTAATGCTATTCTTAATGAATTAGAATCATCTAAATTAGAATCTGAAGTAATTGATAAATCTACTTCAACATTTAACCTAAAAAGTTTAAAAACAAAACAAAAGTTAAAAGAAGAAGAGTCTGAAGAATCTAGAAGAGAAAAATTTTACTTATTTAAACTAGAAGAAAGAAAATGTCTTATAAAAAAAATTATACAGGAACAAATGTTTTTGCAGAATTTATTTTTAATGGTTCCAAGCGGTTTAAAGGTTATTTTTTTACATAATGCTTTGATTGAAGATAATAATGTAGATTGTTTGAGATATCTTACTGTCAGATTGCAACATATACAACCAAGCACTAAGATAAATAAGTTAGAACATTTCAATGAAGTATCTGAAGTTTACCGATGTGTTACAGATGATGGTGCTGTTATTAAAGTGAGTTATCACTTTTAGTTTAAGTATTAAATTTTTTTTTTTTTTTGGTCATTGTTTTTCTGAACAAAATGTAAGATTGACCCTTTAATTTGTTTATGAAAAGCTAATGTTAAAACAAAAGCTACATCTAAACAGTGTAACTTTTTGTTTTAAACTTTTCATTTACTTTGTTTTTTTGTTAATTTTTTTTTTACTATGAACTTTTTTTGATATCTGAAATGTCAGATCCAAGTTTTTTTTCATTGACTTAAAAGACATATTTGAACTTTCAAAAAGATTAAATAATGTTTAGAATTTGCAAACTTTAATTACTTTTTTTTTTAACAAAGTGTTTTATACATTTAAATTCTCTTTGAATTTAAATTTTAAACAAGTGTTTTGCACATATGTTTGAATCTTGTTTGAATTTAAATTGTGGCTACTTCAGCAGTTGCTACAGTTGCCTGAGCTATTATATTTTCAATGTTTGTAGCTTCAAAAATATTAAATTTTTTTTTAGTTTGAATGTTTAAAAAAATAGTTTTTATTTATTTTTAAACATTCAAATTGCAATTTAATTTCTTTTTTTATTGATAATGGACACCTTAAATTATTTAAAGACTTGTTTATAGTGTACAAATAGCTTTATGGTAAATATTTTTTGCATGGATAATGAGTAACATTGTTAGATGTACACAAACTATACCATAATTAATATTTTTAGATTTATACAAACTATACTATAACTGAAATTGTTAGATTTATATAAACTATATTATAATTGAAATTGTTAGGTTTATTCAAAGTATACCATAATTAAAATTGTTAGATTTATAGTACACAAACTTTACTATAATTGAAATTGGATTTTAGTGCATGAATAACACCAAAAACTGGATTTTTGTTTATTTTCTTTTTTTTAATTTAATATGTTTTTGTTTAAAATTTTGGTGATGGTAATTAAATAATGTGTAACTTCACTGTAACTGTCATGCCATAATCTTCTTCCAAGATATAGTAATAATTTTTAAAAAGCCTTAGTGATTTGGTCAAATGTTAGCTCTAGATTTTTTTGTAAATAATATACACAATGGTTGAAATTTGTTTTAGTACATGACTAACACCTTGGTTGAAATTTTGTATCCAAATGGAAAAATATTGAAATCTGCTTCTGTTCCAAAGTTTAATGATAATCAATCCACTAGAGAAAATGATAAGGATCTCATTGATTGGTATTATACATCAGCTTCCGGTGAACGTAAATTTATGAACAATCAACGCATTACAAATATTAACACACTTTCTACATTTACCGTGAACTGTTTAGAAACCAATCAGGTTATTTTTACACATTTGTTTTGCTTTATAATAGTATTTAAACATTTATAGCATACTTTGTTTAATGAGATTGTGACAAAAAACATAGCATACTTTTTTTTAACTTTTAACATAATTTTTAAAAATTTTTATCTCACTCCACAAACCAAATTTTAATTTGATGACATAAACTTGTCATCAAATTAAACTTCAGCATAAATTTGTGCTATGCCTTTTTAAATAGGTTAGGCCTACACTACTCTTAAATAGTTATTATAAATATGTTAGGTCTAAACTACTCTTGAATAGCATTGTAAATATGTTCGGTCTACACTACTCTTGAATAATTATTGTAAATATGCTAGTTCTACACTACTATTGATTAGTATTGTAAACATGTTAGGTCTACGCTACTTTTGAATAGTTATTGTAAGTATGTTAGGTCTACATTACTCTTGAATAGTATTGTAAATATGTTAGGTATACACTACTCTTGAATAGTATTGTAAATATGTTAGGTATACACTACTCTTGAATAGTATTGTAAATATGTTAGGTATACACTACTCTTGAATAGTATTGTAAATATGTTAGGTATACAGTACTCGTAAATATTTATTGTAAAAAGTTGTAACTACTCTAAAAAGTATTCAAAATATTTTGACTGTGGTTAATAAAATTTATGGAGTATATAATTTTTATAAAATTTCGTTGTTTTTATTACAATCAAAAAGTATATTACAGCAGGGTGGCCACTGGTCATGGAAATCATGGAAATCATGGAAATGTCATGGAATTCCTAAATTTTCATTGAAGGTCATGGAAAACTAATGGAACTTTTTTAAAATGATCTTTATTTTATTCTTCTTTTGATATTTTTAGGATATTTGCAAAGAAAAGTACTTCATTGTCAAGTCTAAGTTCTTTTTGAATACGATAATTTTGCAGTGTGAGTTATAGATTAACATTTTATTGCAATCAGTCAGAATAGATCACCCTTTTTGAAAAATAGTTAAAATTTTAGTATTTATCAAAGTATTAGTTTAATAAATAATTTAAATTTTGTTTGAGTTTGTATCGATCAATCAGTTATAGTCACGTCAGGTCACACTGCTACTGGTAACATATAATCCAGTACCTGGTAACATATAATCCAGTACATAGAATCTCCTGAGCCACAGTAAATGCAACTTATTTGGGAAAACTGATAATAACCCTCTAATTTAATTCTGGTTAAGGGTAGGAGGAGCTCATATATTATAGATTGTAATCTTTCTAAATCACAATAAAAATACTCAACCATGGTCTTCCAAATGAGTTAATAGCATGGTAAGTATTTTATTTTTGTTTCTTAAAATAAAATGTTTTATATTGACTGTTGTCGTGGGACTTTAGCAATGCTTTATTGTAGGCAAGTTCATTTTAAAATGAAAATAATTATGTTTTGGAATATTAAGTCGGGTGAATAAAAAAAAGCAATTGCTTTTACTTAGTAATTGCTTAACTGTACGTGAATAAAAATTTGAGCTATTTTCCTCAAATTTTTGTTCATGTAAAGCTGTACAATTACTCTAAAAGAAGAAGCTGTGGAAAAGAAATTACTTTTTTTTTATTCACCTGGCCTATTGACAAGTACATTTATAATTTTATTAATACTTTTATATTTAATTTAAGATCTTTAATGTAAAATTATATTAGTGAAGAAAATGAGAACGTATGGGCTTAAGGTAACAGACTTCTTACTTGAGATGCAGCTACAATACATTTATGCTACGGTACATTTATGCTACATACGGTGTATGTAAATACACCATATACACCATTTATTGTTAAATAAACTGTTTTTTTTATGGCCACCTATGTTTGATATCTACATTGAAACACCCCTGGTTCCAGTAAAATTGTCAGTAAAAACATTTTAGGCATTTTTTTTTCTAAAGCATGTTTTAAATCTTCATTTTGGAATCAATATTTAAAATAAAGTAAAATAAATTGTTGTAAAAACATGTTAAAAAACTATAATAAATGTGAATTGCAATAAGTGAATGTCAATAGTCAGTAGTAAAAGTTTAATGATTAATTGATTATGAACTTAATCCTAAGTTAAAAGGATGTTGTGTATAAAAATATTGAGTTTATTTTTTAGAGTAAATTAATTAAGAGTCTGAATTAATAATATAAAATGTCTAAGAAAAAATACACTTTCAATAGTGAGTGGCTAAAAGAGTCTAGATTTTCAAATTGGATATCTGCAGACAAAACTGTATTGAGTGCAAGGTGTAGACTTTGCATGTGTAGTATTAGTTTAAGTAACATGGGAATTGGAGCAGTATTGAGTCATGGGTTGGGTAAAAAACATCTTAGAAAGGCAGAAGAAACTAAAAGCATTGGTATCCTTTTTGACAAACTACCACCTCCAATAGAAAAGTCATGTTCATTTAAAGCATCTTCAAAAATTTCAAAATCTATTGAATCGTACATTGTTCCTGCCTGCACTCTTAAACACAAAAATACTGTGGACTTTAAAGGTTGTTGTGTCCCATTATTCACTTAAATCATGTACTGGTTTAAGTGAATTATTTAAACTTATGTTTACAGATAGCGAAATAGTAAAAGGTTTTTCATTGAGTCGAACAAAATGTACTTATTTAATAAACTTGGGAATGTATCCTTATTTCAAAAATGCATTAATTAAGGAAGTTCAGCTATCACCTTTTTTTTTTTTGTCTCCTATGATGAGTCTATTAATTGTATACTTCAAGAGGAACAGATGGATATTCTAATTCAATATTGGAATGAGTTCTCAAGTGTCGTTGAAACTCGTTATTTGGATTCAAAATTTTTAAAACCACCTGATGCTGAAAATTTAACCTTCAGAGTTAAATGAGACATTAAAGGAATTGCCATCAAAAAACTTTCTTTAGCTCTCCATGGATGGACCAAATACCAACAGGAAAGTTCTAGATCTTCTTAATGGCCAATGTTCTAGCTCTGAGTTACCATCTTTACTTGATATTGGAAGTTGTGGGGTGCATGTGATTCATGGTGCATTTGCTTCTGGTATTAAATTGATACCATGGAACTTAAAAAAGATCCTTAAGGCGATGTGGCAAATCATGATTCACCTACTAGAACTAGAACATTTATGTAAAAAAAAACTGTTGTGAATTTCCATTAAGGTAATAGTGTTATTTCTTTATGTTAAAAGTCTTAAACTATTATGCCCTCAGCTTTCTACTCCTCATTGTTTAGCGCACCATCAACTTATACATAAAATTTTAATAGACCTATCATTTATTTATTACGTTTATTAGATTCTGTCCAACATGCTGGATTGAGGATGAAGTAGTTGCTGATAGAGCCATTAGTATTTGGGGAAATGTTGTTAAGGTCCTTATATACTGGGAAAGTCTTAGCAAAAGCTAAAGGCCTAAATGTAAATTGTATGATATACTAATAAGTCATTACAAGGACAACCTTCTAATAGCAAAGTTGGAATCCTTCAGGGATATAGCGCGGTGTTTGAAAGAATATTTGGTGGCATTTCAAACAGATTCTCCAATGGTTCTTTTCCTAAATGGCACCTTGGAAAGGTTGTTTAAAAAGATTTTGCGCATCTTTATAAAAGAAGATATATTAAATGCTGCAACCACTACATACTAACTTATCAAGCTTGATGTCTCAAAAAAAGAAAATCAATTGCCAGCTGATCAAATACACCTTGGAACAGCAGTCAAATTTTTTTTACGCTCTAAAGATGTAAAAGAAACTGCAAAACACAAGTTTAAAGAAGATTGCATTAATATGATGGTTAAAGTTGTTGAAAAACTGCAAGAAAGAAGTCCTTTAAAATATATATTAGTGCAAAACGCAGGATGTCTATCCCCTATAAATATGGCTGATAACAAAGAATTGTGGTTTGCTTGTTTTGGTCAGCTAGTTGATAAGCTGTATAGATCAAAGTTGATATCAACCCAAACAGGTGATTCTGCAAAAGATCAATTTGAAAAATTTACAAAATTTGTTGTAGCAGTTAATACATTAGTTATTGTTCAAAATTTCACAATAACTAATGAATTAACAAAAAGTTGCAAGTTAGCTCATTCTCGATATCTGCAATATTTAGATGAAATAAAAAGGAAAATATTATTACTAAAAAAGCAAAAAAAAGAAAAATTATCACTGAAGAAATTGTTTGTGTAAAAAAGAGAAAGAAAGATATTTAATCATGTATCTTTACCCTAAACGAAGAAATTGAATGTTTTAGCATTCAAGCAGAAAAATCTAATTCCATGGAATTATTAGTTAAAGCCAATGCTTTCAGGCGAAAAGTAAAAAAAAAGTTTGTTTAACATTTTATGTTGAAAGTATTTTTGTAAGTCATTTTATATTTTGATAGATAGTTTTAATGCAGTGAAGTACTTTTGATTTTTTCGAATATTTATTTTTGTTCAAAATTTTAAACTTCATTACTTTAACCATTCATATAAAAGATTCATATCTATAATTCTTGCACAAAAAAAGTTATACTTGATAGCTATTTATTATTCAGAAACCTTAAATGTTTAGAGTAAAGTTACGTTAGCAATTAAAGAGATCCTAAAAGTACTTAAATTGCAGGTTAAATGTTTTGGGAAAATCTACATTAAAGATCAGTCATTTCAAATTCCTATTTTAAAGTTTTATATCTTTCATCAAAGTTGATTCTCTGAAAATATTTTTTTGTGACTTAAGTACTTTTAGTACTAAGCTCTTCAATTATACTCTGTGTTATGTAGATAAAACTGTTATTTGAGTTTATTATTTTGGTTTATCTAATAAAGATTATTTTATTTATTTTTGTAAAATAGTGAGCATATCTTAGATAAAATATATATGTAAAATATAAAATATAAATTCTTTAAAAATATCAAAAATGTAATATTTTTGAATCTGTTCAAAAATTAGAGTTTGTAAGAGTAGTTATTTAGTAAGAGTTAGGGTAAAACACCTAGTAAAGATTATTTTATTTATTTTTGTAAAATAGTGAGCATATCTTAGATAAAATATATATGTAAAATATAAAATATATATCCTTTTAAAAGATTAAAAAATGTAAAAAAGTTAAAAAATTTTGTAAGAGTAGTTAGTAAGAGTTAGGGTAAAACACCTAGTACTCCATGCGCTCTTATTTTGCTATTTTTTCTCTTGAAAGATCACTTGCCTTTATTTTTAAAGTTACAATTGTGATAATTTGGTCAGTTATAATGCAAACATAAGAGTTTTTTTCAGACATGATTTTAGAACTTTCTACCAATTAGTTTTTGATTTGTGAGTTTTTGCAAGTCACAACGGCTAGGTGCATGGCAAGTACTAAATATTTCACACTAGTGATTTATCATAAAACTTTATAAAGAGTCATGGAAAAGTCATGGAATTTCATTTTCAGATTTGAGTGGCCACCCTGTACAGACATATATGACATAATCAAATAGCAATCAAAAGTAGCAGTTGCAATGTAAGCAATAATTTAACAAAAATATTTCACATCTTTTCTAAAATGAAATTTTTTCCCATTTCTTTTAAAAGATAGATATTAAGAAACATATGTAACTAATATTATGTAACAGGTTTGTTTAAATGAACTAATTATGCCTAAAAAATAAACTTAAAAAATACTACTTTAGAAGCATTATAATAGTATTATATGTTAATAAATTTAAACTTAAAGAATACTACTTTAGAAACATTATTACTATGATAGTATTATATGTTAGTAGATTCTTTACCAGTTACTAATCAACTCACAATAAAAAAAACAAAAACATTCAATACACACACAAAAAAATGTTAACAGTTTAAAAATAGTAAAAGATTTTCTAATAGATAAAAAAACAATAATACGTATATATATATATATATATATATATATATATATATATATATATATATATATATATATATTATATATATATATATATATATATATATATATATATATATATTTACATGACTACAACCCGAAAATCCCAGAAGCTAAACAATAATTTTTAAAAAACTAAAACTTTAAAAAAGGAAAACTTAGCATGACTTTGAGCTAAAATTATGACTAAGTTGTGAACTCACTGTATTCTAGCAACAAAATTTAAGCATTAATGAAGAGTTGAAATGAAATGAAAGTTATCCGCGTTAATTTAAACTTTTGACTTGATATTGTTAAATTAAATACATTATTTAATTTAACAATATTAAATAATGTATTTAATTTAACAATATCAAGTCAAAAGTTATCCAGGTTAATTTAATTTTGACTAATTCTTCCTTGCAATTGCGCAATTGCAAGGAAGAATTAGTCAAAATTAAATTAACGCAGATAACTTTTGACTTGATATTGTTAAATTAAATAATGTATTTAATTTAAATTTTATTTACTTTTATGGGCTATATACTTATGCAGTTGCTATGTAATGTTGTTTATGTAGCTATTTTGTGGGACACAGGCTTTATAGTAGCTATGAGCTGCCTATGAAGTAGCTATGAGCATGCTATGTAGTAGTTATATAACAGGTTATGTTGGAGCATATAGTTGTATCATAGCTATGTAGTGGGTAGCCTGCAGACTATGTAGTACCTGTATGCCATCTATATAGTGGGCTACATAGTAATTATGTCCTAGACATAAAAATAATTAAATCTGATTTAAAGCATTCACTAATTTTTCCCGTAATTGTGCAGGCTTTTTTTCTTTTTTTTCTTCTAGTTGCCCCAAGAAGTCCTTACCTTTTTATCACACAGCACCGAAGAGCATTTGAAAGGAAGTTCATGCCTCCTTCCTTATTAATGTTATTAAATTTGCCAAATAGTGGCAATGAACCATGGTTCTCTAGTTTTTGTGGCTAGCCTGCTAACCACTGCTCCACTTAATTTTATTACAGCTAAAATTAAATAAGCTATAAATTAAGTATGGATACTCATTTTTTTACCTATTATTAAATAATATTTAATGTTATTTTTTAACAAAGATTATAATACAAATTTATAAAAACATGTATATTGTAATATTTAATCTTATAATTTCAAAACTTAAGTAATTTAAATTAAATTGTTAAAAATTTGAAAAGTTACATAGTTTGGCATAAACATTATATTTTTATAAGAGATAAAATAAAACTTGTTAATGATAATAAAATGATAAAATAAAACTTATTTACTTTCTTTGTAATTTGTAACCTAAAATTATCTGTATTTTAAAACTGATGTTTATAATAATTTTTTTTTTTAATAATTCATTAGTCACTTCCAAAGCTTGCATATTAGGAAAACCCTAGTATTTTATTTTAGTAAGTAACAAGCTGAAATGTTATTAATTCTTATGTTGCAAAATGGATTGGTCTATTCAGTACTACCAATGGTGGTTCATTAAACTAATCAAAATGTAAATTTTATCCAAATAATTACAATATTCTATAAATCATATTTCATTCTAGTATTATCCAAAGCACAAAATATCTATTTTATTATTTATCAAAAGCACAAAAAATATATATTTTTTATTATTTATAATTAGAGTTAACTTCTCTTTGAAAATATTTAGTAAGTTGAAATTTTTAAAAGATTACATTTGCTTTGAAAAAAAAAGGCTTCAATAACTATTGCTTTACTTCGAATAAAGTTAACCTACACATAATAAAAAGACGTGACAACTGTTTGTAATTACTGGTTTCAAAGTTCTTATTTATTAAAAGGTCTGTTCAGTACAACTCTGTATGCTGAAACCTCATAACTAAAATCTTATGATTGTAGAAGTGCATAATTTAAATTCTAGACAAATTACTCTTTTAAAAATTCAATCTATCAAAAAAAACTTCAGAAATTTCAAACTTCAAAAGGAAATTAAACATTTTGGTTATTCTTTTTATGTAGTTCAATATTGAATTTTTTTAGTTATTTTTTTTTATAACTTTTTTTCTAATTAAAATGTTTCTAGAGTTTGAGTTTTTTATTTATAAAACAGTTATTTTGCTAAGATTGTTTTTTTTTTTAGTTATTGAAAACACGAGAGGATGGTGTAGTTATTGTACACAAAAATGGCAGCTCTGTAACCGAATTTCTGGACGGTACAAGAATTTCTACTTACAGCGAATATAGCGAGGAAAACTCTAATAATTTTATAAAG